GAAACCTAGGCCATCATAAGGAACAGTGAAAAAGAAGTTAGGGAAACATTCTGCATAATAAAAGCTAACCTAATGAATATCAGCAACCAAAAATAACCTGATAACGGTCCCTTTAGTTGAACCTGTGGCTAGAAGTGTTGTTTGGTTATTCAGGGCTAATTGAGTGATTTCAGTCAGATGAGCGTCAATACCACGCGGTGAAAGGGAAGCGCACTCACTCATGTTGTTTAAACTCACAAGCTGTACGCTTCCAACCTGGAATTTGTGTAGATAGAAGCAAACCGCTTATCGCTGCTGAACAAATCGGTTTGAATTTTGAAGTAAAAAAGGCTCTGAGAAACACAAATCGTAACCTTGAAACCAGGATAGGCTAACATTTGAGAAGCACCATTGAAGTCACATCCAATAGCCGCTAATCCTGTTGGATTGTATCTCAAAAGAACAAAAAATATCATTTGAAATCAATGGAGAGCATGAACTAAATGCTGCTTGCTCACCGTATCTCTTCCGTCCGAATGAGCTTACATGGACTTGGAAATTGAAACACATGAATTCTTCTTTCTTGCAGTACAATTAACTTTGAATATGCTAGCAAAACGTTCAGAATCGGTCCACCGGCAACAGTAACCTCAACGAAGAGCAATTAAAAAAGAAGGAAGAAAGAACAGCATCTACTGAATTACTTTCGCTACACAGAACTTTAAAGGTATAAAAACGATAGAAATTACATAAAAATTGTCGTTTATCAGCTATTTGCTTTTCTAACCGATCCCTGTCACCGATCTTGAAAAAATTACTGGGTAATATGAGTGATTCTTGCTTTGAAGTTTATTTGTTCCCTGTGGATTCGTAATTTCAAGAAGGTATTCTTCAATTGACTCTTAAAGCCTGGCAAGTCCAAGGGATACTCTCGATTATAATATTCCGTCAGGAATTTAGGTATTTTTCAATCTAAGTGGTGAATCATAGGGCGGAAGTGGTGTAGTGGCAAGTGGCACGCTTACCACGCGAGCGGTCCGGGGATCAAATCCTGGGTCGTGAGTCGCCCGGGCCAACCAAGCCTTCCATCCCTCCGGGGTCGGTTAATTGGTACCAGACTGCGTGCCGCATCCCAAAAAGGGATTGATCAACGGCAAATGCTTTATCCTCTATCCTTCAAGTGGAGAATCGCTATGATATGGACCTAGAGAAAAGAAAGTGATGGGAAGGGGATTTTGAAGAACGAAGAATCATGCTACGCACACTGCTTAAACATGGAAAAGCAATACCTCCAGAACCAGCTCCTGTTGCTTGTCATCCCACACCATAACTGTATTTGAGGGATATTTCGCATAACTTCCTCCACCGACAAAAACAATGATATTCGATCTGTGAAGAATGCCGACTACCTAGAAATGATAGTAGATAGGTGTTAAGCGAGCAAGTGTGCAGGAAAATCAATGCTTACCTTAACCCCACCAACTTGCTCTCTACTGAAGCTCCGTAATAGCACAGGTGGATGTGCATTGAAGAAACGTATTCCTGAATCCGTGGCCACAGAAAATCCATCTTGTTGTGCATTGAAACAAGCGCTGTAGACTTTGGAGGTGGCCGGATTCATGCTGCAAAATGTGCGAAGTTGAACTTTCGAAAATAAGAAGGGTCTCATCCAGTAAGGAGGGAGGCATGTGGTGCGACAGTTCATATTGCATGAAGTAATCCACTTTTTTCAGGGGAGGGAAGCTCCGGGGTGGGTGTAAAAGTTTAAGCGAAATGGTTCACGCACCCCGGGGATTCCCTCCCCTTGCAAAAAT